ATGCAGAGTGATCCATCCCGATTTTAATGTTACGTTTTTTTTTTGTCTCAGTCGATGTTATAGTACGGTTCTATGTGGTTTTGAAAAAACGATAATGTTTTTATTTTTGAATAAAATATAAATATGATGTTATCATAAAAATTTGAAAAAAAATGTATGTATTGATATTAGTACCATCTAACAATTTAAAAAATTTCGTTTTTTATGTAACTTTTTAATTTATTTTTTTTATTTTTGTTTTAATAATATAATTTTTTATAAAGATAATAATTAAATATTTTTGTTAAAACTCAATGATTATCCAAATTATATTTTAGATTTTTTATATTTAACATGAGATGTTTATCCTCTATTTGATTATGTTTATCTGTAGTTAGTTATACGAATTCAAATATAAAGTTTAATTCAATTGTATTTACGCATAATTTACTTGTAATCTTGAATTTTAAGTAATGCGCATCAATAAACAGTACTTAATGTATAAAAATGGTTTTTAATAGTTTTTGTGAATGTTTTATAATATAGTATAGATAATAAGAGATATAAAATGAGAAACGAAATGATGGGAAAGACAAATGAAAAAAAAAAACCACATAGACTAAAACCGTAACATACTCTAAAGGGCCGTTTACCAAACGCTTACTCGGGTAAATGAACACCAAGTCATTTTACCTTACCGGATGAATATGGTGAGGATCAAGAATTTTACCCGGTAAGAGTGAGAGAAGAACCAAGAGTCTTACCCGGTAAGTGAAGGCGACGAATCTTATCACGGTAAGCGCTTACCGGGTAAATTGTTGCATACGATACCGTTTTGGTGGACTAAAAAACTTATCCAGTAAGTAAATGATAGTGTTAAATTTACCGGTTAACGTTTACCCGATCAGTGTTTGGTAAACGGCCCCTAAGATCAAATAAAGCAGAAAAAGGAAAAAATAAATTAACTAACCTATTTAACTATAGTTACTTAGAGGGACCAAACGTGAAACAAGATGGCCACCACAATGATCAAAATTGTAATTAATTTAAAAAATAGATCAAACTTGATAACGAATGACAACTACATGGACCAACAATGTAACTTACTCTAGATATTTTATTACTAAAGATTCATCACTCATAATTTAAATACTTCTAAAATTCGACTCCATTCATATTTTTTTTATTAACCTGGATATCCAACCCGCTATGCGAGCCGACTAATCTCAGGACGACCATCTGCTTTGCAGATAGCCCGGAGTCACTGCATTTGAACCTCTGTGGCCACAAGGGGATTTTTATTCCTCCTTGGATTTGAACCTGGAACCTCCTGATACTTTTGACCTTTGGAGCCAAGCTCAAACCAATCAGGCACCACCCTTGTAGTTAGTCCATTCATATTTTAAACGTAAAGCTTCCAAGATTTTTATAAGTTAAAAATTACTTTACGACAACAAATTGGTAATATCATTAGAGGGGAAACATAACATGCCACAAGAGCGAGATGAGGTTTGGAACTCTACTGCGAACTAGACGTCTAGCATGACACATCGATTGGGTTCCCACTCCAGCTTTGAGTTAACTATTTCAGAGGCCGCTCAACTGTTCGAGCGCAATGCCATTTAAGAGGACTTTACCCTTGAAAAAGTAAAAGGGTAATCATATCGTTCTGAAAACATATCTAACTGTATATATATATTTCTTTTAGACGATGTTTTCATCTAACATGATGAAAAACACATTCTTAAAAAGATATGTCAAAAAAGCTCATATTTTATTTTACTTTTGAAAACTTTAAGCCACGCTTGTCAATATCTTAAAAAATCATTGTAATATAATTTAAATTCGTGAATTTAAATATAACACTTGCATACATCCACTGAATTACTAGGGATGACAAAAAAAACCGAAACCGATGGTGAAAACCGAAACTTTCGGGCCTGGTTTAGGGACATCTTATCGGGGACGGGGCAGGAATAGGGGACAAATTCGGGGATTTTAACGGGGATGGTGATCACCGCCCGACCCGATATGTATATATATATATATATATATATATATATAGGGGACTAATCAAATGAGAACTGATTAGTTTGTGATAACTGTGAGGTCCAATCTCAACCACAAATCAACGGATAAATTAGGAAATTAATAATTATGGTAGTTTGAGTTAAAATTATAATTAGAAGGCATATTAGGTATTTTTAAAAAACTCATCTCTCCTCTCTCATCTCTCTGACCTCCAATCTCCGGCCTCCAAATTAAAAACGTCAGAGGTCGGAGAGAGGAGTTTTTAAAATCTGTAACTATAGTTTTAACTCAAATTACCAAAATTACCAATTTCCTACTTTATTATTTGATTTGTGGTTGAGATTGGATGTTACCACAAACTAATTAGTTCTTCTTTGAATGTCCCTTAATATATATATATATATATATATAGACTTGGGATCATGTGAGACCAATGATTTTTCGTGAGACCCGTAAAACCAATTCTTCACCCTTGGATTAGATCTACAATTTGAAAATCTAAACATTCATAAACGCCACGAGACTTCTCAATAATCACAAAATTGCCACCGTGCAATTTAGACCATTAGATCATTAACTTATAAAGTTGATCAATGAACATAAATTGGTCTTAC